CACATACCCAGATGAGGTGTTTGAGTCCCCATCAGAGGCAGCACTAAAGGACTGGGACAAAGCCCCAGAGCAGGCCGACCTCACGGGTGGGGCCCTGGACCGCAGTGAGCTTGAGCGAAGCCACTTGATGCTGTGAGTACAGGCAGTGGGGGAGGGGTTTAGAGGGAGAGTCTGCCTCATTGGGAGCAGCTGGGCCCTTGGGTGCGATGCTGCAGTAGTCATAGCTTGGACTGATCAGGGAACTGGGAATCTAGCCTGACCACTGTGGGCATGAGGACCCAGGGGCAGGCACAACCCTAGACTTTGATGCCCAGCTACAGAAATTGCAGAGCCCAGGGGCTAGAGTCTAGATGAGAGGAAGACCATGGCCTAGTCAACACTGTTGAGATATACAGCCTCAGTCTTGAGGCTCCCCATTCCCTCCCTGCCAAGCTGCCAGGAGCTCACTGGTAAGGAGGGGAAGGAAGAGAGATAACTTGCTGGAGGTCTCCGCCACCCCTGGGAGGGCAGCAGAGACCCGGAGCAGTGCTCTGGTTCTGCAGCGGGAAGGCAGTTGTAGGTTCTAGGCAGGAAGTGAACGAACGTGCTGTTCCCCTCCAGGCCCCTGGAGCGAGGCTGGCGGAAGCAGAAGGAAGGTAGCACGTTAGCCCCACAGCCCAAGGTGCGGCTTCGCCAGGAGGTGGTCAGCGCGGCTGGACCCAGGAGGGGTCAGCGCATCGCTGTGCCAGTACGCAAGCTCTTCGCCCGGGAAAAGCGGCCCTATGGTTTGGGGATGGTGGGAAGGCTCACCAACCGCACCTACCGGAAACGTATTGATAGCTATGTCAAGCGGCAGATTGAGGACATGGACGACCACAGGTAGGCTGTGTTGGGATAGAGGCTGGGCTGGGGTGAGGAAGCCAAGGCAGGGATGTTCCTAATACCTCTGTCTCACAGGCCCTTCTTCACCTACTGGCTTACCTTCGTGCACTCACTGGTCACCATTCTGGCTGTGTGCATCTATGGTATTGCGCCTGTGGGCTTCTCGCAGCATGAGACAGTGGACTCGGTGAGCCCAGCAGCTCTCCCTGCACCCAGATAACTGGAGTCCCGGCTCTGGACCCTGTGGCCCGGCTCTGGGAGGAGGGAGGCCTCCAGATTTGATCCGATCTCACTCCCTACCTCCCAGGTACTTCGGAAGCGGGGCGTCTATGAGAATGTCAAATACGTTCAGCAGGAGAACTTCTGGATCGGCCCCAGCTCGGTGAGGACAGGGCTGGAGGAGGAGCTTAGAGGTGTCCCATCCGTCCTGGGTCTGAGGCCACAGCTGCTGTCTCCCTCTTCACAGGAGGCCCTCATTCACCTGGGTGCCAAGTTTTCACCCTGCATGCGCCAGGACCCACAGGTGCACAGCTTCATCCTTGCTGCCCGGGAGCGCGAAAAACACTCAGCTTGCTGTGTACGCAATGACCGGTCTGGCTGTGTGCAGACTTCGAAGGAGGAGTGTTCGGTGGGTCCCCTACGCTCCCGCTCTGTCTGCGCTGTTCACTCTTACCTTCAGATTTAGGCGTCACGGCGTTCTTTACTGTGGCTTTTGTCAGTGTGTGGTACCTCCCCAGGCCCCGTCATTCTTGCGTTTTACTCTCAGTTCCTGTGAAAGACGGTCATTTGACTTTAATTTGGTCTCGGTTTGGGCCTGCTCTTTTAGCACCTGTTTGGCGTTATAACTTGGATATTGCCTTATTGGATGGTGCAGGCCCAAAAGCGCAGTAGTTAGGAAGCCGAAGGAGGAGGAGGATGGCTAAGTTCCAGGCCAGCCTGGGCCACACTCCATGGTCTCAAGAGGAAAGAACAATGCAAAAGATTCCTCCAAACCGTGGCACCATAGCTGATGCCGTTTCCCTACTTCAGGGTAGAGGAAGTACCTCTGTGCCTCTACTGTGCCGTTGGGCACCTTGGAATACGCCCCCGTGTGTTTCTGGGGTTTTAGCCTAACAGCTGTGTGGAGGAAGGAGGCCTTTGATTCCTGACTGAGCCAGCACATTGCTCTGAACTGGGCAGAGCGTGGGATCTGACTAGGGCTGACCCTGTGTCCCCACAGTCCACGCTGGCGGTATGGGTGAAGTGGCCCATTCATCCCAGTGCTCCAGACCTCGCAGGCAACAAGAGGCAGTTTGGGTCTGTCTGTCACCAGGACCCCAGGTGAGCACTATTGATTACCCTCTAAAATACCTTTGGTATGTCTGAGGGGTGTAGAGGAGTCCTTGTTTTGGGCAGAAGGGTGACATTGCCATGGGACAAAGGCTTTAACCATGTGGGCTCATGCAGGGTGTGTGACGAGCCTTCTTCCGAGGACCCTCATGAGTGGCCAGAAGATATCACCAAGTGGCCGGTGAGCTGGGGTCTCGCACTTGCGGAAGGGGGAGGAGGCCACGCCCTACCCTTAACGGCGCTGCAGACTCTCACTGCTGGATCACCCATATCTTCGCACTGCCCTAGCTTTTGCCCAGGCTGTCTGTCCGACAAGGCTTGCCTCTGTGAGCAAGGAGTCAGGGCAAGAGAATGGCGTGAAGACTCGAGAGGCTAAGAAGCATGATTCTAGTTTGCGGGCGGCTCAGCTCAGGCTTTGGGTGTTACCTGCTTGAATCAAGGGAGGCCTGGTTTCCGAGTCTTGTCTTTGTCTTGGTCTCCAATAAGGGTATTAGGCCAGAGTTGGGTGTGTGTGGTAATGACCCTGACCCACTTGTTTTTCTTCCTCACTTAGATCTGCACCAAAAACAGTGCCGGGAACCACACTAACCACCCTCACATGGACTGTGTCATCACAGGCCGGCCCTGCTGCATTGGCACCAAAGGCAGGTGGGTGCTCCTGCGCAGCTGGCTTGGGGCAGCACTTTTCTCCCTCACTAAAGCCTGAAATAACTGATTCCAGCACCAGGGAGTAAGACTGGGCCAGTGAAGGTGGGTGGGGCTGAAATCTGCCGGGGTAGATTGGACAGGTACCCGTCGACCTCAGCAGCCTCCATCTACAAGGCTGGGCACCCTCCAAACCCTGGCATGACCCTCTAGGTGTGAGATCACCTCCCGGGAGTACTGTGACTTCATGAGGGGCTACTTCCATGAGGAGGCCACACTCTGCTCTCAGGTAGGCCTCGAGGGCGTGCCCCTCTTTGCCCCCGGCCACTGTGGAGGCTGACGGGCCGCTTTGCGCAGGTACACTGCATGGATGACGTCTGTGGCCTCCTGCCTTTCCTCAACCCCGAGGTGCCTGACCAGTTCTACCGCCTGTGGCTGTCCCTCTTCCTGCACGCCGGGCAAGTGGAACTGGGGGCTGGGTGGGGGAGTGGCCTCATTCCCCACGAGTGGCGGGCTAGAGGTGAGAAAGCTGTCACCTTCCTGCTGAGTGCCCCTCACTGCCCACAGGATCCTGCACTGTTTGGTGTCCGTCTGCTTCCAGATGACCGTCCTGCGGGACCTGGAAAAGCTGGCAGGCTGGCACCGCATAGCCATCATTTACCTGCTGAGTGGGGTCACGGGCAACCTAGCCAGTGCCATCTTCCTGCCGTACCGAGCAGAGGTAAGGTGGCTTCCCAGGGCGTGACCCCACCTGTGTGGAGATCAAGTGTGCTCTGAGAGGTGGGAGGGGAAGGTGAGGGCCTGAGCTCCGGCCGGGGATGGGGAGACGCTGCCGCCCCACTAGCTCACAGCTTCCGACCCCCAACGTCAGGTGGGTCCAGCCGGCTCACAGTTTGGCATCTTGGCCTGCCTCTTTGTGGAGCTGTTCCAGAGCTGGCAGATCCTGGCCCGACCCTGGCGGGCCTTCTTCAAGCTCCTGGCCGTGGTACTCTTCCTCTTTGCCTTCGGGCTGCTGCCCTGGATCGACAACTTCGCCCACATCTCAGGCTTCATCAGTGGCCTCTTCCTGTCCTTTGCCTTCTTGCCTTACATCAGCTTTGGCAAGTTTGACCTGTACCGCAAACGGTGCCAGATCATCGTCTTCCAGGCGGTCTTCCTGGGCCTGCTGGCCGGCCTGGTGGTACTCTTCTACGTCTACCCAGTCCGCTGTGAGTGGTGCGAGTTTCTCACCTGCATCCCTTTCACTGACAAGTTCTGTGAGAAGTACGAGCTGGATGCTCAGCTCCACTGAAGCAGCTGTGGGCACCCAGCCTCCCAGGGCTGAACAGATGGTGCTCCCTGAACACTGACCTCTTGTGCCTTGCTCGTCCCTGTTGAACCCCTATACTGCTGGACATTTATTACATGAGTTCCCACGATAACCTTCTAACTTGTCCCCCCGACGACCACTTCATGTGGCCAATAAATGAACTGGGAGCGTTTTAGCTGCCACTAACTTAACCAGAGCCTTTCCTGATTTCTGGCTGGGGCTGTGGGGAGAGGCCACGAAGACCTTGGACATACAATGCCCCATGTCAGTGGCTCTCAACCTGTGGGTCGTGACCCCTCTGGCAACCCTCCATCTCTAAAGATATTTATATTACAACTCATAACAGTAGCAAAATTATAGTTTTGAAGTAGCAATGAAAATAATTTTATGGTTGGGGGTCACCACAACACAAGGAACTGTATTAAAGGGTCGCAGCATTAAGAAGGTTGAGAACCACTGCCCTAAGTCAGAGACATCACTGGCTGTCACCTCTCTGTGAAGTTTTGTAGTGGGGCTAGTGGCCAGTATTGCGACATGGACCTGGGAGACACATGGCTATAGGGAACCTGTAGGTGGAGGCCTGAGTCCCCCACTCCCCCTCTATCACGTGCTAGGTCCTCCCGAGGCCCTGGGATGCAGGCTCCTGTTTCCCCACAGCAGAAACAAAGCTATCAGCTCAGCTTGTAGTATTCCATGCTGGGAGGCCATGGCAAGAGAGGTGAGCAGTGCGGTCCCAGGGCTTAGATGTGGCCTCTGAGACTTCAGTGCTCCCCAACACCAGTGTCTGCCCTCACCTCCCTCTGGCATGGGACAGATCCACCTCACCCACATGGAGTGGCTTTCTGATTTCTCCAGATACAAAGCAAACAGGTTTATTCTGTAGGCCAGCCCCACCATCATGTAGGATCTACAGGCTGAGTTCACAGGAAAAGCGAGGGACAGAGGAACTTTTCACGTTCCGAGGGCTCCAGGGCTCACGCTGACAGCTCCATCCGGGCAACCCAGGGATGCAGCTACCTCAACACCCTTTCCTGTGAGGACAAGGGGAGGGGGCCATCTTGCTGGGAGAGGTTAGATCACTCCGTCTGGGGATCACTTTTGCCTAAGCTTCTTGATAAAGGAAACCTCGTCTCGATTCCGGATACCATAACTGAAAAAGAGAAAGGCACAGAGTCTGACATACAGAAGGATCACCCGGGTTCAAGAGGGGTCAGGAGCTGGCTGGCCATCACCTTCCTCCTCCTCCACACCCCGTTTCCTTCTGCTGGGAGCACAGCAGGCTTCTTTCTCCGCCCTGCGTTAAGTGGGAGGCCCCAAGGAAATGCCCCCGGGACAGTCAGTCCAGCCAGGGACCTTCCTGTCACAGCCCCTTGGTGGAGCACAGGGCACCGATGGACCACAGACCTACAGCTCAGGAGGTGGACTAGACTTACTCTCGGAGCTTCTTCCTGTCCTCTGTGAGCTTCTCCCCAGCTGAGGTCAGATGGTACGTCCGCCACACGTACGACCTGCAAAGAAGGGACTTTAGTGATACACAGGCTATCCCCGGGAGGGTGAACTGGGCAGCTGAGACGGCAGAGGCTTGCGGCACACAGCCTGTGGCCCCCAGGACAGAGATATATTCCCTTTCTGGAAGTTTTCCCTACATGATGTATATGGTAGTCGCAGGAGGTACCGAACACATCTTGCTGATGAAGTAGGTGATACACTGAGAGTCAGATAAGAAGACACTCGATCCAATAGGAGGGAACAGCACCTTGGTGAGGAGGGAAGGGGGCCACTGACAGGTATGCCACCTATAACCAGGGAGACACTAAGGTGTCAGGTATTTCCAAATGAGGATATCCAGCAGTGTGGGTAGGGTGACATCAGTGAAAGGGTATGGTATGTTTAGAAAGAACAACCAGGGCAGGACCCTCAGGCACAGAATTACCCAACCCGAAAGCTCTCATGACACGGGACTGTTGCAGCATCGCTCCTTGGTAGTAGAGCATTGGTGGTGCACACAAGAGGAGCTGAAAGTTGCCTCCTCACAGTGCCCTACACAACCCCAGGAATGATACAGCGAAGGCACTTCTGCCCCACTCACCAGCTGATGTGCTGAATGCCTCCTTCCCGCTCCTGCTTGAGCTGCATGTATCTCTGGATAGCCTTCTTCAGGTCCAGGACCGTGGCATTCTGTACGACGACCACAGCTGTAACCATGGACACATAAGGGAGAAAAGCCATGTGGGAATCCACACACGAAGCCCCAGGCAATGGGAGAGAAAGCCAGGGCTCTGCTCTGTGGGGCAGGGTGGCTGTCTGGCTGTCCCAACACACCCAGGCATGGTCCGAGCTTCACAGACTAGCTCTGCTAGCACCTTGCTGCTGTGAAAGCTCAGGCTTAAAGAGAAGGACGGTTGTGGTCTGAATGAGTGGCCCCCACAGGCTCATATATTTGAGTGTTTGGTCCTCAGTGGAGCGGTTTGGGGATATTTGGTGTAGCCTTGTTGGAGGAGGTGTGTTATAGGGGCTGAGCTTTGAGGTTTCCAAAGCCCATACCATTGCAGTTAGCTCTGTCTCATGCCTGTGGATCAGGGTGTAAGCTCTCAGTTACTGCTCCAGGACCATGCCTGCATGCCTGCCTGCCTGTCTGCTGCCACGCTCCCTGCCGTGATGGTCATGGACTCTAGCCCTCTGGAACATGGATTCTAGCCCCCACAAACATTTTCTTTTATACGTGCCTTGATTGCGCTGTCTCTGTACAGCAAGAGAAAAGTAACTAAGACAGTGGTACTTACGCATTACCTCTCCATCCATCTTGCACACTCGGACTGTCATTGCTTGGCCATATTCCAGTGCGATCTGAGAGTTGACCTCTTCTAAAGTGACCTAGGAAAGACCAAAGGGAGGTGGAGATGCTGACCCAACACCCGCACAATAGCGAGAACCAAGCTGACAGTGCCCCCAAGTGGTGCCTTGTATTATGAAGGGCAAAGATACAGGGGTCTCGCCTACTATGCGTTAGGATTTTCTGTTAAAAAGTCCCCCAAGGTAGCAAAGGAACAGCGTTAGGATTTTCTATTAAAAAATCTCCCAAGGGAGCAAAGGAACAGGATGGAGACGGAGCTGCACAAGGGAAGAGCATCAGGCCTAACAATTCTGAGAGCCCTCTATCAAGGGCCTCAAGCCTGGTGCCTCAGGACTAGGTTGAGGCAGGGCAGGGGTGCAAAATTTACCAGTTACCAAAAACCAGTGATGACAAAAATAAATATTTTTTGTTTATTTTGAGGCAGGAATTCACTATGTTAGTTACCCTGGCTGGTCTGGAGCTCTAAGGGGGTCAGGCAGGCCTTGAACTTACACAGATCTGCCTGCCTCCGCCTCCTAAACGCTGGGATTAAAGGCGTGTGCCACCACTGCCTGGCGACACAAGAGATGTTTTAATAAGACACTGAGGGAAGTACAAGTTGAGAAAGTGGTGTAACTCCGTGGTAGAGCACTTGTTTAGCGTTCGAAAGCCTCCAAGTGTGATCCCCAGTTCTGTGCGCACACAGATGTTAAATTAAACACCCTTGACGGCCAAGGTTAAAAAGTACATTAAAGAATTACAATGCCCACGCATACTGATGCTTGAGGCAAATGGAAAAGACCGGTCACACTGCTCGTGAGTTAAAATCTTACTATTTGTTTAATCCTAACTTCTGACGCCTGTGAGGGAATGTTTTGGGGTCCCCTCACCCCAAACTTTCCGCTTAGGCGCAGAAGCGTCTTTCGCTGGTGGGACCACCAGTGCCCATCCACACCCCAAACCCCTGTCGCACACCTGGATCGGAAGGTCGCAGAGCAGCGGATCTTGCACCACCATGGCGAGACCTTCTTGGAACACATCCACGGCTTCGGAATGCGGCAGTGCCTCCTCCTCATCCTCATCGTCCTCAGGCACTTCCGGCCGATCCGCAGGCTCGGGGTCCTCCAGGGCTGCCAGCTACCGGTAGTGCCTCTCGCTCTTCGGTCGCTTCTCCAGCCCGCCCTGCCGTCCAGCGCGTGCGCAGTGATTGCGCCACGCCCCCGGCGAGGCAGCTCGGTCATTGGTGCACTGTGTGGCTTCAGTGACCAATGAGACGTGCGAGACCGCGGGGGAGGCTGGGAGCGTGCCGACAGCAGGCTATTGGCCGGGTGTTGGTCACGGTGCGGGTGCGGACGGCGCGGGAGCTGTATTGCAGTTCGTCGGGTCCTGTGTGGTCGAGCTGCAGTCAGGCTGCCCTTCTACCCGGGCTGGTCGTCAGGGAGGGTCAGCACTGCCACCGTTTCACCCAAGACACCTACCTGTCCCCCAAGCACAGCGTCACTCACAAAGTGACACTAGGAGATGGGCGCCTCCTGCTGCTCGGGGCCAGCCGTTGCTACCCGTGCGCCTTTGCCCCAGCCCGGTCTCAGGGATTCCTCCTTGGGCTCCATTCCAAAAAGTATCCAGAAAGGTCCACTTAAAACCTAGTGAGAGAGGCTGGCGAGATGGCTCAGCGGTTAAGAGCAGCTGCTCTTCTAGAGGACCTGGGTTCAATTCCCAGCTCACGACTGTCTGTAACTCTAGAGATCTGACACTGTCACACAGATATACATGCAAGCAAAACACCAATAGAATAAACAGATAATTAAAAAAAAAAAAAAAAAAAAAAAAAAAAAAAAAAAAAAAAAAGCCGGGCGGTGGTGGCGCACGCCTTTAATCCCAGCACTCGGGAGGCAGAGCCAGGCGGATCTCTGTGAGTTCGAGGCCAGCCTGGACTACCAAGTGAGTCCCAGGAAAGGCGCAAAGCTACACAGAGAAACCCTGTCTCGAAAAACCAAAAAAAAAAAAAAAAAAAAAAAAAGGCCGGGAGGCGGTGGCGCACGCCTTTAATCCCAGCACTCGGGAGGCAGAACCAGGTAGATCTCTGTGAGTTCGAGTCCAGCCTGGTCTACAAAGCGAGATTCAGGACAGGCACCAAAGCTACACAGAGAAACCCTGTCTCAAAAAAATCAAACACCGCCCCCCCCCCCAAAAAAAACCCCAAATACCTAGTGAGATGGAGCTGGGCGTGTGGCGCACACCTTTAGTCCAAGCCCTGGGGAAGCAGAGGCAGGCAGAACTCTATCTCTGAGTTCTAGTCCAGCCTAGTCTACAGAGCTAGTTCAAGGACAGCCAGGGCTACAACAGGTAAGTAAACCCTGTCTGGAAAAAACAAAACAAACATCCAGGCGGGACCCGTAGTCCTTCGTACCACGCAGGGTGGCAGTGCCAGGCTCCCATCTGCTCTCCACCTTCTCTGGTCTCCAGTCTTCGTGTTCTTTCTATTGCCTTTTTACACCAGTCCCTGTAATTGTCTGCATTTATTTCGTCTGTGCAATGTGTGTGCAATGCCCACAGAGGTCAGGGTGTCAGATCCTCTAGGACTGGAGTTATAGACAGTTATGAACCATCATGTGGGTTCTGGGAATCAAACCTTAGTCCCCTGGGAGGGCAGCCATGTCTCCTAACTGCTGAGCTCTCTCTCTCTCTCTCTCTCTCTCTCTCTCTCTCTCTCTCTCTCTCTGCCCAGAAGGCAGAGGCAGGAGGATCTCTGTGAGTTTGAGGCCAGCCCTCTCTACAGAACAAGTTCCAGGACAACCAGGGCTACATAGAGAAAACCTGTCTTGAAAAACCAAAACCAAAATCAAACAAAAAAGAAACTCCAGCCCTTGTCCCAAGCCTGTTGTATGCCTCTAATCCAGCATTTGGAGAAACTGAGGCAGGGGGATTTGTTCAAGGCTCACCAGGGTTGTATAGCAGAGATGAAGAAAGTAAAACAAACGGATTACACAGTGAGACCTTGTCTCAAACCAGATCAAACCAACCGACCAACCAATCAAACAAACAAAAAAACCCCTTCTATGGTATAGATTAATTTGGCCTAAAGAAGCACAATTTCTGGCCAGGTGGTAGTGGCGCACGCCTTTAATCCCAGCACTCGGGAGTTAGAGACAGGTGGATCTCTGTGAGTTCGAGACCAGTCTGGTGTACAGAGAGAGAGTTCCAGGACAGCCAGCGCTGTTATACAGAGAAACTCGGTCTCGAAACAAACAAACACAAACAAAGAAGCACGGTTTCTTTCTCGTCTTTGACATTTTTGTTTGCGATGTCTCCTCTCAGGCAATGTGGCTTTATTAGTTGTGTCAAGTTTTCTGTCTTTATCATCAGAAAGGGAAAACCAGATCTTGAAATGAATGGCCTTTTTTCTTTCCCATGTTTTCCTTTCTATGCCACCATAATTTTCGTGTCCTTCTATCCTGCCTCATATCTGTATCTGTATCCCCATATGTTCACATCAACACAGAACTGTGAAGCAGCATCATATCAGTTACTAAGGCTTGTCAATATTTATTATTATATATGCCTTTTGGCACACTAAAAGACTAAGCATTAAAGGGACTCTGACCTACTTTGAGGGAAGGATAGTGTGTTTGTGGTTGTACTGGGATAGTTACATCAGGCAGAATTGTGAACTTGTCTTCACTTGGAAATTAAGCGTGATGTAAGGGTATGTGTTTGGGTGTCAAGTTGACAAGGGTGGACTTGTAACGATTAATATTGATTGTTAACAGGACAGAGACTCACCTGTGAGGCAAGTCTCTGGTTTATCTGTGAGGTATTTAGATTAGGTCAACGTTTGGGCATGCCTATGGTGAATTTTCATGAGTCTGATGCCTTAACTACTCGGCCATTCTGGTTTCTGGGATTTTCTTGGTTATATTAATTGAAATGGGAAGACTCACCTGGAATGTGAGCCACACCTTCTGGTGGCAGCTTAGACATTAATATAAAGTGGTCCGAGGGGAAAGATTTTGCTTTTTGCCTAATGCTTGCTTTTGTGTTTTGTTCATGAGTTCACCTATTCTGTTGGTGTCGCGGTTCCCGCTGTCTTCCAGTGACACTGGAACTCAGCCTTTTCGGCTTCCAACACCGATGGAAGACAAGTGGTTCTCCAAGAATTCTCTTGGCCTTAGAACTGCTGAGGTGCTGGCCAGTGGTGGCACACGCCTTTAATCCCAGCACTAGGGAGGCAGAGGCAGGTGGATCTCTGTGAGTTTTGAGGCCAGCCTGGTCTACAGAGCGAGACCCAGGACAGGCACCAAAGCTACACAGAGAAACCCTGTCTCGGGAAAAAAAAAAACAAAAAACAAAAAAAGAACTGCTGAGGCATCCGGGCTTGAGGACTGAGCATCTCCTGGGTTCTCAGCCTCTCCAGTATGCAGGCAGCTGTTGTTGATACCCAGACTGTATTGGGTAAACCAATCTACTACAACTCCCTTTAATATGTCTCAATTCTACTGGTTCTGTTCCTCTAGAGCCCCTGGCTGATACAGATGAATATGCCACTTTTTAACATAAAGATATAAAAATTCTGTTATGTATTAGGCAATGAATAGTAGAAAAGGAAATGAGGAGATGATATTGATCCATTTGGTCAACAGAGTGAAAGCCCAAATGACTTTGCCCATTCTTCTAAATAGTGAGGTTTCAAGGAGGACCAAACTAATGATAATAAGAGTAATTCATAAAAATAATAACAAATGTAGTCGGCACAGAAGGCTTAGAGCAGAACTCCAGAAGGTCCATTTCAGTTAGCGCTTCATGTAACGATCTAGTCCCTTTTCCCCAACCCCTTCCTTCTTATTTTTGAGACAGAATCTCATGTAGCCTAGGCGGATCTTAAACTCACTCTGTAGAGGATGGTGTTGCCCTTCTGAGCCTCCTGACTAGCTCCCAAGTGCTGAGGTTCCGGGCATGAATCACCATGCCTGGCTCACTGTCTTCAGGGTGGAGTTTCTAGCTCTGTTTCTTTTCTTTTCGTTTTCTTTTTTTTTATATCTAATAATCTTATGTGAGCTTAAAAAACAAAAGCAACTGTGCTTGGGGGACTAGAGAGATGGCTCAGTGGTTAAGAGCCTTGGCTGGTCTTCCAGAGGACTCTGGTTTGATTCTCAGCACCCACATGGTGGCTCACAACCATTGGTCCAACTTCTTCTGATGGAACTCCGAGGGCACCAGGCACACATGTGGTGCAGAGACATGCATGCAGGTAAATATCCAAATACATAAACCCAAACCAAACCAAACACACACAAAACCCCAACAAAATCAAGTGTGGTGGCACACACCTTTCATCCCAGCAACTCAGGAGGCAGAGACCGGTGGATCTCTGTGAGTTCGAGGCCACCTGCTTCCAGTAATGAGTTCTGGGACAGCCACAGCCATATAATAGAGAGATCTTGTCTCAAGAAACAAATCAAAATAAAAAACAAAAACTGCCGGGCGTTAGTGGCGCACGCCTTTAATCCCAGCACTCGGGAGGCAGAGCCAGGCGGATCTCTGTGAGTTCGAGGCCAGCCTAGGCTACCAAGTGAGTTCCAGGAGAGGCGCAAAGCTACACAGAGAAACCCTGTCTTGAAAAACCAAAAAAAAAAAAAAAAAAAAACCAAAAAAAAAACCCACAAAAACTTAATAAAAATATACAGAAGTGTCTGTGCTCACACGTGCTTCCATGAGGGAGAGGTAAAGATCTCCCGTTTCAAAATCTCTATCTATCTATCTGTCTATCTATCCATCCATCCATCCATCCATCGTTTTTCAAGACAGGTTTTCTCTGTGTAACACCCCTGCTTGCCCTGGAACTCGCTTTGTAGACCAGGCCTTCCTCTGCCTCCGGAGTGCTGGGATTAAAGGCGTGCCCCACCAACCGTCCGTCTTGTTTGTTTCTCTTGACTGAGTTTTTACTTATGTTTAGCACTCACACTCGCTGTCAGTGCTGTCTCAAAAAACCTCGAAGGGGAAAAACCTAGAGGGCTTCTGCTCAAGCCTGCTCCGTACCACGTCCTTGCTGCCCGTGTGCTGCTGTGGGGTTCCTGGGAGGACAGTGCACACTCGGTCAGTCGTTAGACAAATGTCCACCGTCCCTGTCCGGTGATGCTTGGTGTCATGGAGTGAAGTCTTATCCCTCCTCACCATTCTGGCTTGCAGCAGGAGGC